TCTGATTTTGTGACTTGGTGTAACACTCAGAGGTTCTCTAGGTGTGGATCACAGTGACTCTGATTCACAGGGGCTGCAGGGTGAGGAGGAGGAGCTTTCAGAGAATTGTGATTATAGTTTAATTGAGCGTTAGATGAAGTCAGCATTGTAATTGCTCTTTCAAGAAGGGACGCAAGAGCTGTTGCATTATCACACTCGCGTTGCTGTTCTCATTTGAGGCATCTGAGCCTTCTCCTACCTTACAGCAATTCAAAGGATGCGGTCGCAGCTCATTAGAATAAGGGAAAGATCTAAACTAAATATTAAAGTGTTTAGAATATTATTACAATAAGAATGCTTGCATGTGATAAAGGGATAGAAAAAGAGTTAGACCGTTTCCCGGTCTTTTTGTGTTCATATGTATGTATTTATACATGTCTTATATGTGGGTCCTATATTTGATTGCTGTCAGGGACGTGCATACCTGACTGATTTACTGATGCATCAGGAGCACACGTTGCCCCTTGCACCCTGCTGCCGTGGCTGCAGCTGTGTTTTCATCTATACATACATACTTTTTAAAACAGGCCAAAGATACATATGCCCTTAGTTACTGGTAAATTAATTTGAAACTCATTTGAAATAACATTGACCATTTTCTAAAAAATTATTTAATTTTTCAAATGTAATTCGCATGAAGCTGCCCAATAGTTTTAGACCAAAGAAGCTGCATGTATCATACAGTGAAACACTTGACTGTGTTATAACAGAATGGGAATTAGCTCTGAAAGGGGAAAAGAAGACAGATTTGAGCTATGGAAATCTCAGCTAAACAGTAACTTGAAAGTGAAACAGCTCGCAGACAACACACTTTCTGAAGTTTTATTGGCAATAAATAATATGTTGATGATAATGTTTTGAGTGGTGTGTTAAGTGTGTAATAATTCTCTCGCAGTGATCTCAAGTGAAAACGTTTGCTGGATATAGCTCTGTTTTAATTTAAAAAAACAGATATAAATCATATGCAGGAGAGGAAGTATGTTATAAACAGTGCTGGGTTTGATTATAATTTTTTGAAATAGTGTTGGCTTAGCATTGAGTTTGAATTTTAAGTATTAATATTTGCACACACTGGGGAGGGAGTCCCTGTCATGCGCTCACTAATAAGATTGGTAATGCAAACTGGTTTTGTGGGGAAGAGTATTAGATGGGTACCTATTAATACAGCTCTAGCTACTAATATTCCAGCATAAAATAAATGGATATTGTGCACCCAGGTCTAGATCATGTTCACTTCTTAATCTCAGTAGCCAGTAGTACTTTATTTGAGTTGAGTCATCAGAATTTGGCCCCTCTGTGGGAGTTTTTACTGCAAGTCATAAAGACCCAAATTGCCGCGTTAGCGGTTACAAGTGGCTTCTGTATGGTGCTGATAGTAGCAAAGAGTCTTAGTGGACCTAAAGGCAGGGGAGAAAAAGGGTCGTGGAGTCTAAAACCTCTCCCCAGTAGCACCACAGTAGTTCAGGGTCTGTCAGCATTTCCACTCCAAACCCCAGTTTTCAGAGTTTATAACTCAGCTGTTTTAAATAGCTTCAAGCTGAAACCTGCTGTATAAATTGTCAGCCCAGATGTAGATTTTGAAACAAAAAGTAGCGTGAATCAGTTATTCTGTTTTAAGTTACAGAACATTAAAATATTTTTAATAGTATCAGATGCTCTTTTGGCAGTCTCTGGAAAAAGCATTCTCAATACAGAGGATTCACATTCAGAGGCTGTTTGAATTCAGCATTTTGCAAGAAAAGTTGAAGTGGCAGATACCAATGGCTGAGAGGAACTATTTAGCATGTACACTAGTTTTTTTGAAACAAGTATTTTACCCTGCAGAAAGTCTTAATACCTACTGTTGTATAGCAGTCTTTCTTCATGCTTATAACTTCCGTCTTTAGGGTACATACTTTGGCCAGTTCAAATCCCACTGGACCGAAACTGGGCAAACAGGTTGCCTAACCAGATGAGAATTGTGTCAGGCAAAAAACACATAGTTATTTTGAACTTGTAAGAATTGGTTTGGCTTTATTTTGAGGCTTCATCTGACTTTGTGTTCCTTTTTGAGCTTTAGTTTTGGGGGGGGGGGGAAGCACGCAATAAATCTAGCTTTAGTCATCAAAACCTGTAGGGATTTTAATATGGAAAATAAAGACTTTGAAATAACAGCAATATCGAATATTAAAGAATAGGTAAGGAATGTTCACTGTGGCTGCTCGTAATGTTTAATTTTTTGCAGCATTGTGACTCATTTCACAATGCACTCACAATCCTCTTTCTAACAATATATAATAAATTTTGTATTGATACATCGCATAAAATTGCCAAATCAAGGTTTATGCCCACAGCCTTCCAGTATTTACAGTTACTTTCTAAAATTCTCAAAATGACGTGTTTTTCTTCAGGTTTCAAACTTGTTTTGCCAAACTTTTTTCAACTCAGTGCCACTATGTACATGTGCAAGAGTCTTCTGTTGTTTTGTGGCAAAAGAAAAGATGAATTATGAAAAGAACAAGCATTTTACTCCTATTACAATACAGAGGAGCTTCCCATATTGTAGGACTTTATTAGCCAAAGTTTTTGCTTTCACCTCTGATTTCAATTTGTCTTGTCCCTCGGTCTTCTCTGAATGAGATGAATAGTGCTATTGCATCGTGCTGCATCCAAAACCTCTCAGTAATGATGCAGCTTTTGATTAGGTGCAAATCGCCTGGCCTTGGCAGTGGCACGTGCAGCTCTGGGCTGATGGCTAAGCTGACAAATTGAACTGACATCGAGTGGAAAGGGTAGGGAGGAAAGCTCTGAAAAATAACAGGGGACAGGGGGAGCCTTTTAAGAGGTTTTTCTCTCTCCTGCCTAGGTGTCACAAGCTGTACCCATGTTTGGGGCCGAGGCAGAGCTGTGTTGCTACCTGCTCTGTGCTCTGGGTACCCGGGGAGAAAGAGGTGAGCTGAGGCTGCAGGCTCCTCGCTTCCTCTTCCAAAGCCCCTGGCAGCCTTTTGCTTCCTCCTGTGCTCTCAGCTTCTTTGTATTTCTGGAGTAATATGATTTTTTTTTGTTGTTTTGTGAGATATAAAAAGCAGAGGGTGCAACTGCCCAGGCTGCTGATGGGCATGACAAGACTGTACAGAGATAACGTGGTCTGTTGCAGTCAGGGTAGGGAGTGGTTTATATGTAGTCTTAGTTTAAGCCAGTATCCATTTATTAATGGTTAGACTCAGCTCTGTAATCTGTTCAGCTAATTCTGAATTGTTATTTGATTATTATTTATTATTCCTTACACCTGGCTTTGAAGCTGTCAGACCTGGTTGCTGCCAGACCCAAGGCAGAGAGTTAGTGGGACCGCAGATCTTAGCCACAATGGTGGTTCCTCTGTTTTTATGTTCAGGGGCATTTAAAGTAAAATCTCTCTTTGCTAGATGAAGACCATACAGAGTGGTTTGTGGCAAAACTCAGTTTTCATTTTTTGGTGGTATTAGTTGGTGTTTTATGGAAAAAGAGGCTTCCAGCTCTGCTTGTTTCTTTCTCATCAGTATTTCTTTGAAATAAGACAAGCTGTACTTTTCAGTAATATGGTCTATTTCAAATATTTTCAGATTGTGTATGCCTTTTTAATTCCTTTTTATTGTTTTAGAGAAACATGGCAGAGTGCATTGGGCCACATAATGCTCTCCCTATATATTCAGAACTCCTCATTCTTTCCACTGAATTAATATCACTGTGCAACCTGCAATTATTAGTTTCAGCCAGGATCATTTAAGGGAAAGACATTTCAAGCATGCCCTATGACAGAGTGTAATATATATTTCAGGGGACAGAGTAAATTACTTTGAATAATATAAAAAGTCATATCTGAGCATGTAAGCAGGTAGAAACTGCAAGGGGAGACTCTTCATAGCTCAAGATATTTTTTCAAGTTTGAGCTCAGCCATGCAATATTTCTGAATCTTTTTTCATTGCAAATTTATTTCCAGCATCAGTTTTAGCCAGCTGGGGAAAAGGAAATTACCTTATTCATGCTTTTGTGGACTTTTTTGCCCCATGTGTATATTTTCTTAGCAGTCATGTTTAACTTTATTTTTACTTTAAAAAGTCACAGTGCACTAACATTGTAGGTATCCCTGGTGTTTTCAAATTGGAAGCTGTCTGCTCTGTGACATTTATCTAGTCAGGTGTGGAGCACTACACAGCTGCTGAAGCATAAAATTGAGACTATCAAGTAGCTGGAACATAAGGAGAAATGGAATATTTTGATATCTTCTCTTCACCCATCCTGGAATGTGAGGGAGGTATCAGCACTAACCACATGTGACTCTTGTGAGAGCTATGAAAATGTACATGCCTGCAAGGAGATACAACTTTGTTTTGTATTACATCTGAGGAGTTTGAATTCCATCATAAAGGGCTCCATCTCAAAGCACGTTGGGCATAGAGCTTTGCCTGCTGATGCCCCTGGTGCCACTCCTGGGATGGGTGGATGTGGGGTTCACTCTGGCTCAAAGTCTGAGGAGCTCAGGGTGATGGGTGATGGGTGCAATCAGCAGAGAAGCAGAACTGAATCTGGGTGACAAGGCTGCTAATAGTAATTTCTAACTTTCTATTTCAAATCCATTCCCATGTATAATTTATGGATATGAGCCATGGCTCGTGTTCTCTCGCTGCTCACTGGTTGCTAAGAACAAAGTTGGCCTTCAGGAAGCATCAAAGCATACACTCTACTTAAGGACATTGAATGTTCCTGAATAAATGTAACAAAGAAGAAACTCCCTATTAGGCTCTAAGAAAGGGAGACAATACACGATGTTTTTGTGTTTGATGTGGCACTTTGTTCTGTGCACAGTGAGTGCATGACTTCTCACCACAGCGCTGCCACGGAACTTTGTAATGAGTGTGGCAGCCTACAAAGCTGGGAGGGAGACACATGCTTCCAAAGTGTGGCTCCACTAGCTTAAGTGGTTGTCTTCTCGTTTTTACAGGTGGTGGCCTTAGGAGAAGTGCCCGATGGAACGGTGGTCACCGTCATGGCTGGAAACGATGAGAACTACTCTGCGGAGCTGCGAAATGCTTCTGCTGTGATGAAGAACCAGGTGGCCAGATTTAATGACTTGAGATTTGTGGGCAGAAGTGGAAGAGGTAGGCCACTGCCTTTTTTGTGTCCTTAATGAAGTGGAAAAACAATGTCTAGACGTCAAACTTACTGTGATGAAATACTGATTAGTCCATAAATCCATTGTTCACAGAATTATACAACAATTTGGCTTGGAAGGGACCTTAAAGCTCATCTAGTTCCAACCCCCTGCCATGGACAAGGACACCTTCCACTAGACCAGGTTGCTCAGGTTGTCATCCTTTCGTTCGGAGGGATGTACACATGTTTTATTGTCAAACTTCAGCATTTGCACAATGCAAGTTAAGAGTTTTCTTCAGTTTTTGCCACTCCTCACATCTCTGTAGGTTTTTATCAGACATGAGTTTTGAAAAATGATAAACAGTGTATGTTCTTCCCTGTTTCTATCACCAGGAAAGGTGGAAGGAAAAGGGACTATGTGTGATGTGGGTTATGTGGAGTCAGTGAGTGTATCTCAGGCCATGGCAGTGAGAGGTGGAGAATTCCCTTCAGCACTGGAGCTTCTTCTGAAGTTGTTGTAGAAGACCTGTAATTAGGATGATTTTGCATATCACATGTGCTATAGGTTGTATTCTTTAAAGACTTAGATCTTTCAAGGCTTAACAACTGTTAGTGGAAAGCTTTCTAGTGAGTTCTGTGCCCTTTGCGATCACACTGCTGGTAACCTATGAAAATCACCCCCACTTTTCTTTTTAGTAAACTGGTTGACTTTTTATGAATTGCTGGTAAGCTTGGGCTTGAACTACATTTAACCTTTACTTTAAATGACTGTAACTTTAACTTTCAGTTATTTTTTTTTTTAAGATGTAGAGTGCTGTCATTGTCTTCCAGCTGTTTAGAGCTTCCTATAATCTGGAAACTGCATTGCACTTATAGAAAGCCTTTGTAATCATTGCAAATTTGCAAGAATTCCTTTTTAAGGGTCTCATAGCTGCTTTCAGACTTTGGGCAATGATTGAGAGGACAGCTTGAAGGAAGCTGGCACTTCAGTTTTTGCTGAAGGAATCTTCAGATGGTTTGTAATATCAGTCATTGATTCAGCCTATATATTGTTTTGCTTTATATATTTGAAGTAATTATTCATTTTTCTAAACTAGGCCTGCATGGGGCAAACCAAAGCAACAGAAGTAGAGCAATTGTGCTAGAAAATTAGCAATAAAGCTAATTTTACAGCAGTATTCTTCAGAAAGCAGTCATGATTCATCTTAAGGAAGGAAAATGTTTTTGTCCAAAGAGAAATAAAACATATGACAGAGGCCCAGATAGTCTAAATCTGTTGGCATGTTTTCACATGTGCTTTGTGAAAGTGAGTCTGTGAGCATGGCTTTCAGGGACTATTCTTTATTTTAGTAACCTGACCAAAAATTCACTTTATCATTCTAAAACTTGAGGAGTATTGATAATACAGAATAGCTTGAAAGGCAGAATAATTTTTGCAACAGTAATCCAATACAAATAGGGAGTTTATTCCCCTTTTGGATAAGGTTATTACCTATCACTTCCATTTTTCTTCCTCTCTTTAAAAAAATAGTTTGTTATTTTGCTGATGGATTAGGTTTGAAAGTTCTCTGGCTCCATCACTGCCGCTGCCTTACAGTAGAAGTTCAGTAGCGTATCAGTCTTTCAGTAGTGCTGAAAAAGAACTGAAGTGTGATGTACAACCTCTGATCTGTGAATTTCATTTCAAGCCTATGATATATACTTTTTATTAAGACATAGGAAATGAGACATAGGACCTAAAGCCTCCGTAGATACAGCTACAAACACAAACCTCCTAAAATTTGGTTCCAATAGTTTAAGTTATATCTAGCAGACTTGGAATAGACTTTTTCTCTGATCAATCTGGGTAGAATCTATGGAAAAGTGATAGTGTACTTTTCAAACCCTCAACATATTTATTTAAGAGACTTCAAAGAAAAACAAAGGGTGTGCACTGTTTTACTATATTGGCTTTCTGAGTTTTGGCTAGTTTCCCAAATAGCAATTTTTATATTTAAAAAAAACTTTAAAAAAAAAACGGAAGAAAAAAGACAGACTTAACTGCTTGCAGACTTTTCACGCATGGAAGATGAAGAAAGCTTCTTTTGATGAAGTGTAATTATGTCCAAACAGAGCTGACCCCCTCCCCCTATATTTCTTATGATCTTAACGGAAGAAAGTAGGGCTTTTCCTTTGAAGCAGCCGGGACTCGGTGGAGGATCTGAAATGCTGCATTCTGCTGCCAGAGGCAGGATGGAGAAATTGGTCCAGACTTGTCTTTCAGACTTAGAACAGAGGGGGAGAGAGAGAGAGAGAGAGAGAAGGAGAAATAGTTATCATTAATGATAGATTTTTAGGACTCAGCTTAAAATAGCAGGAAAATAAAGCAGTCATTGCAAACGGAAGTGAGAAAGCTCCTCATATTGACAAATATCGGTAAATACAGATCTTGAAGTAGAACAGGAAAAATTAAAGTAATAAAGAAATCATTTTTCAGTGGCACGAAACTAATCCACACCTGTTCCTGACTTCAGATTTACATCTTTCTAAACAGCTCGTGCTTTGATCTCTGTATCTCTAAATTTGATTGTGAAGACTGAATCATCAGCTTACCACTTCACCTCCTCTCCCACGTTTTTACTTGCTTCCCATGGCTCAATGGAGAAACTCGATTTTTATACATATTAATATTGCTTGCCTGACAGAAGCTTCACATTTCTGTTTGTATAATTTCTCTTAAACACCTTTTTTGGATTCATAAGAATAAGTAACCAGCGTGTTTGATGCGAATGCAGCAGTTGTTTGTATGTGGTTTTCAGGCAGTAGCTCACTTTTACAAGCCCGAGCCACAGCACAGAGAAGAAAGAATTCCTGTCTTCAATAAGCAAAGGATCATAACCTTAATTTTGTTGTGTCCCAATACTTTAATCACATTAGCATCTAACTGAAAAAATATGCAACACGCACACACAAGCTGCAGAGTCTCCTTTCAAGCTTATTTCTGGGTTTGCCTGGTGCTTCAGCGTGTGTCCATCTCGTCCTCCTCTGTGTCAGCTTGGCTCACATGTGTGAATAACAAAGAATGCACAATTTAGACACACTGAAGTAATAGTGCCAGATGACTGCTTGGCTGGGGAATTTAATAAAAGAGAAGTAAAATTAGTCTTTAGCCTCTGAAAGTGGATAGTTGAAATGACTAAGGGCAATAAAGAAAGGTGATAAAAAGTGCATTAAAGGATTTTGTAGCTGAGAAGGGATATCTGTGAAATAGCTGTGGAAGGCATCAGCATCACTGAAACAAGGGACCTTAAAATTTATTTCTTTCTTAATCCTGTAATATGTAAATCATCTCTTGAAAGCTCTGGAGTGTGCTGGCAGGGCCATGCAGCTCCCCACAATGAAGTGCTCTGTGGTTTATGGAGTGTGAGGGGACTTCATCGGTCTTACTTCATCCATTCTTTGGTTTAGTAGAATAACAGGGAACAAAACCAGTTTCCCTTTCAAATTAGCTGCTTACCTCTTCAGCTTAGGCTGGCTGAGAGGTGACACTTTTTGACGTCATAAGCTGGTGACAAAGAAGGCCTTAAACCTGTCGCTAGCAAATTTTATACATATAGATATAGGCTGAATTCCTACTTGGAGAGGAATAAAAGGCATAGACCCTCCTCCGTCTAAACAAACAGGCGTAGAGGCACTGTATGCTTCAGCGGGGCTGTTGCTGTATGTCTGAAGGCTGCCCACACACATGCTGTGCACTGGCAGGACACGCAGTTCACCTCTGGGACAGAAGATTGGCAGGACTGGACAAAGATAGGACATCCTACATACACCTAAATTTTATCCTGTGATAATCTAAGGAATAATGTATTTCACAGTGAAACTAGGGAAGTCACCTTCAGCTATGCCACTGAAACAGAATTCAGCCTCCTGAGATTTTTGCATGCTTAAACTGAAAGAGAGCAGGCTTAGATTAGATGTTAGGAAGAAACTCTTTACTCAGATTGTGGTGAGGCACTGGCACAGGTTGCCCAGGGAAACTGGATGCTTCATCCCTGGAAGTGTTCAAGGCCAGACTGCATGGGACTTGGAGCAACCTGGTCTAGCGGAAGGTGTCCCTGCCCATGGCAGGGGCTTGGAACTAGGTGATCTTTAAAATCCCTTCCAGCCCAGACCATTTTATGATTCTATGATTTGCTGGGGTCCTGACCTTCCCTCTAACCTGCATCTCCCAGAGAGCTGGGCACAGCTGGAGTGCAGCTTCACCTGGAAAATCATTTTACTCTAAATGACAGTTATATTTCCTTTTAAAAAAACTCATGTCACATTCTAGTTCATGAAAATTATAGCCAAGACAGTTTGAAGTTGCACTCCTGATAATAAATGATGCATGTCTCAGGCAGGTTTGGGGGATATATGACTTGGAGCAGAAAGAAAGACCAATTACTAGATTTGACAGCCAAACCTCTGTTCTGTATTATGCTTTATATATAAGCTGTTCTATATTAGGCTTGAAAAAACTGCATTAAGTTTGTGCTGTTACATATCATTTAAGATCTGTGCCTTGATTGAATGCCTTCAGAGTTCAGCAAGAGGAAAAGCCCTAGCAACAAAAATGCACAAATACACCCAGGGAGGGGGGGAAAAAAGAGTTTTAAGTGTCTGGTAAAGTAGCAGCTTAACTAAGCATGAAGGCCAAAGATTGCTGACTGTTTTATTGAGTCACTGTTGTACGCCCACCTTTTCCTGTCTTGAAACAGTTTTCAGTTTTGACTATCTGACATGACTAACCGTTGCATATCTAACAGATTACAACTGTCAGTGAGTCTCCTGACCGGGGGCCAGCGCCTGTGAGAATGTGTGCTCAGACGCAGGCAGCTCCCTTTATTTATTTCTTTTTAACGTTTTCATTCAGTTAAAGGCTGTGGATGATCTTGTGCAATCTCTGCCTGATTTGGAGCTTTTAAAAATAAAAAACCAACCCAGTGCAGACTGACGATAGCGACATACATGCACACAGGCATTTCTCACCCTCACCGGAAAGTGGGGGGCTTTCTTGTGTGCTCAGACGCAGGCAGCTCCCTTTATTTATTTCTTTTTAACGTTTTCATTCAGTTAAAGGCTGTGGATGATCTTGTGCAATCTCTGCCTGATTTGGAGCTTTTAAAAATAAAAAACCAACCCAGTGCAGACTGACGATAGCGACATACATGCACACAGGCATTTCTCACCCTCACCGGAAAGTGGGGGGCTTTCTTAGCATTTCATAAATATATGTATAAAGCATGTTCCAGTAATAATGATATCATCATATTAGCCCTGGCATATGAAGGACAGGAGACACTGATTCCCAGTTAAAATATCTCCCAGGAGATTTCCTCATTTTATTGTAGTCAAGTGAAACAAATGAAATGATAAAACTCTGTGAAGTAAATAACATGTGGTCACATTCTGCTCTCTGTCACACAGCTGCAAAACTGGAGTAAATTTTTAAATTATCTGACTTGCTTTGGATTTACACCACTTTCAATACAGCAAAGAATTTGGCTTGTCCTCAGCAGTAAATCACTTTTGTTCTGTCATTGTATGATGACCCATTATTAAATAAAAAACATTTAGATTGTCAACACATGGACGTATTCCTGACATAGAGTAAAACTGAAGGGGAGGAAAACTCCTATGGTCAGTTATGTTTTTAATTTTCACAATTGTGGTAACGACAGGGAATAATTTTAAACGTCTCTGATTCTTTACTGAACATGCATGTGACTGTTTTCATGTTGTAATCACTCATTCCTTGTTGGTTTTTTCCCTTTGTAGGGAAGAGCTTTACTTTGACAATAACTGTCCTGACAAATCCCCCCCAAGTCGCTACATACCACAGAGCTATAAAGGTTACAGTGGATGGGCCGAGAGAGCCAAGAAGTGAGTATTATATTCTTATTTTTGCACTTAGGTCTTCTTAATTTTGTTTAACAGAGACCCATAAATGAAATATGTGTATCTTTGTCCAAAATTGATTCTTGCTTAGCAAAATATGTAAGCTCATGCTTAATTTGGAGTCTATTGGACCACACACATACTTGCATTAAACACACACTTAAGTGCTTGGCTGAATTTGGGCAATCCCAAACCTGATTCTTACTCACATCAAGGTCTTGACACATTATCTGCCAGTGTAAATGAGAACTAAACCACTGTATTTATATATAATCTGATTTGAGCATAATAGATACAATCCTGCAGTGTGCTGAATTCCTTGAACTCCTGTAAACTTCCAACTGAAGACGTTTTGAACAAAACAGGAGCCTGATCTCTCAGGATCAGTCCTAGCACAGAGAGAAAATATATAATATAGTGCCTTTTTGTTTGCCCTTAAATTCTTTTGCCATCAGATAATTAATGCACCTGGTTAATCTCATCATACCTGAAATTGGTGTTCAGCTATGGACTCATCATAGACCCCCAGGGGCCAAAGAAAGATAAAAAAGCAGTGTATCAACAGCATGGCCTTTGTTTCTTGTTTGTGCACAGAAGGTATATTTTACTTAAACATAGTCCAGGAGAATTTCACTCAGAGTTGTTTATCTTGTAGATGTACAAACTTGCTAAGAATCTATTTGGAATGATTTATCTGTTTTGCAATGGCTATACTTTTATAATAATTGTGTTTTGTCATGTTCTAGCAGTTTTATGGGTAGCACTTATTTTTAGATACAGGCAAGTCTGGTTAATCCATCAGGATTTATCCGGCTGTCTCTCTGTCTAGCACATTTAGCTGGTAACCAGCCTCACATCATATGGGTATCACCGATGAGCCAGTTCTGGAGTTTTTTCTTAATCTAACTAGAATGACTCTTTCTAAATTGATTGGATTAACCAGGTATAGCGTTATTTAAATTACACTTAGAGATTAAGAATTATTTGATGAATAACCACATTAAAAGGATCCCTATAATGGAAGCATCTCAAATAATTATTTTGCCTTTGATCTGCACATACAAACGAGACCTGCAAGGAGCTTTCATGGTGTTTTGTTTAAAATACCACAAAGACAGAAGTAGAAAGACATAGACAGAATTCATGCAGTTAAGTGTTTCTCGTGCTAATACTTGCTGCAGCGTCACCTCCTTTTACACCAAGAGACGGGAACTGAAATACCTCCTGTAAGAGCTGTCCAGGCTTAGAGTTTAACCTTGAATAACAGCTAAGAAGAAGCAAGTAGCTATGGATACATTTCATTATGTAGATTCTTGAATTGCTACCTGCTCGCAGCTGAGGTGTCCGTATGTTGCAGCAAGGGGATTTTCATTCTGTCTTCTCTCCCCAGCTGAATCAGTTCCCATTTTGAATTTTCACTTGCAGCTGGTGCTCCATGTAACTTACTTGGAGGACACTGGGGAAACTGCATTCATGAAATAAAAAGCAGGGAGCAAGGTATATATAATTTAGCCATTCCCTTTTGGAAGCTGCTTCCATGTATTGAGGCATCTGCAAAAGAGGAAATCTCCCAACAGAGGACATAACCACTGTGAAGGAGCAGAGAGATTTGAAAATTACGTGGACTACCCTGTGTGTGTGGCACAGAAGGGAACCTGCTGGCATGGGCACTAACTGTTTTGGTTATCAGTGGACTGAAAGTGAGACTATGTTCATAGAAGTTTATAAGATTTCTGAGTTCTGCTGGAGATTTTTAGTTTAGACCTGTCAGGCCTCTGTATGTGATACCTGTGAGCTGTTCTCATTGAATAGCTGAATGTAGGAATGTTCAGTCACTGAGTTTTACAGCCTAGATTGAGTTATTGTGTCTTTCTACGTCTTTTTTGTTGTTGTTGTTGTTAAGAATGTCAAATTTGAGCTTGAATGTCCATTTGAACTTTAATGTTTTGGCTAAATACTTAGTGAAGTTCTACTCTGAGGTCTGTTTCTGATACTTTCAAGGCTATGACATCTCCAGAATGATTTGTTATTAAACTTGAATTTGCAGGAAAAGAGTAGCTCCAATGAGCTGTGGGAGTTTCACTGAAGTGGGGTTTCACTGCTTCTTTCATAAAGCCTCTGCACTCACGTAGTTTTATTACTGTTCAGTAATAGTTGTTTAAGAAGTGTATCGGGTATTTGCATAGTGGTTGGGGGCAATAAGGAATTCTAGGCGCAGCTCTGATAGCAAATGTGTTTGTCTTAACAAATTATGTATCAACAAATAGTGCCCCTTTCTGCCAGGGTCTGTATTTCACTTCAACATCTCAAGCATGTTATCCCAGTTTTCCTCTCTCTGGCAGCTCAACCAGAGCTGTCACATCACAAACAACTTTTTTCTTAATATACACATCTGGCGTTGGCAGTTGGAGCAACTTCATAAGAGCACATGATCATCATTCATTACAAGATTAAAAAGTACCCCATGGCATCATTGATGTTTTTTAACTTTGATCTTTTGCAGTTGTGATTCATCTCAGTTATAAAACTTCCCTTTAAAGGAACACAACCGATGACTTATTAGAACCTTCATTCTGAGGAGCGTAAACATAAAATTACGCACATCTTTACAAAATGTCATCTACTTTGTTGCCAGCTTATCATTTTAAGACATGACATCATGCTTTAGATCGTGAATTTGTAAGGCTTGTTTATAGGCAAGGCACTCTGACCTTCTGTTGGCAAGTTGACTTGAGCAAACGAGTGCTGCGAGATTCTCAGCAGCAGTAGGAGCAGCAGCAGTGCCATGACAGATATCAGTCATTCAGAGCCCAACTTCAAGAGTGCTGAACAGTCATGGCATGCATGGACTCCAGTTTGTGTTTTGGATGCTCAGCACTTCAGAAAGTCAGGTTCTTAAATGTAAGTGCCATTTAGTCGTATTAAACATCTGCTTGTAGAAGCTTGCTGGCTTGCCTCTCTTATTATTTTAAAAAATTTTAATAGAGACAGTGATGTCAGGTTGTTCTGTTAGGAAAACTTTCCCATTTCTAGATGAGAAAAGGTCTTCTGATGATTTTTCCTTGGAAAAGATGTATTTATTTTTAATTATCTCACTCCATCTAGATTACTGTCCAGGGACATCTACTGTGTTGCAGTCTCTGTGCTGGATTGAGACTGCACATTGCACTCTGAGTGACGGAGTCTAGAGACAGAGTTGTATGAGATCTTTGGGAATCATTGGGAAATCCTGCAGCTATTTTTCTCTCCTCATATCCAAGCTAAAACTTCTGCCATATGCACAATTTAGCCAGCAGAGCTGCCTTCCAGCTGGGAGGGCTGAAAGAAGTTTTCCAGAGAAGTAAGTTGTCATGAGGTCATAACTGACCGACAGATAGTCAGAGATCACTGTAAAGGAAGTAAAAGAAGAAAAAAACAGAACCAAAACAACACCCAAGATCTTTACTTAAGCCCTCTTTTAATGTCTTTGCCTTACCTCATTACAACTAGAGAAATAATGATTTGCCCTTCTGTAGTGGTGCCTTTTGAATAGGAGATATGTCCTCCGTTCTGGCTGATTTTGGGAGAAACTGTGTCAGGAGGGAAATCATGAGGAAGGAGAGAGGAGGAGTCTGCATATTTTTATATTTTGCCTGATTTCCAAAGGCTTTACTGTGTCTCTAATTTAAGGTAGGCTCCAAAGTCATCAACCCCAAGTTTTCTTTATCAGTGTGAATGGAAAAGCAGTTCTGAACTTTGAGCTGAAGCATTTCAGTGGGAGGAAACTGCTGTGTTTCATTCAGCTCCCGAATATTTCTCTGCTGCCGCGGCTTGCAAGGTGCACACGTGATGAAAGGTATGAGCAAACATCACATCGCCTTTTTGTCTGTGCACGCTGCGGAAGGCAGCGAAAGCCAGCCAGAGGTTCTGCTCAGCCTCCACATTAACTGTTTGGCCGACCCGGCTTAGAAAACGCAGATAAGTGATTGAGATTTTTGAGATTCCTCGACATAAAACCATAACAGTTTTTAGGAAGTTCTCCCTCTTTTCTTTCAAAGGCGGAGAGGGTGGAGGAATAAATCTGGGGCGAGTGGAATGTGCTTTGGAGCAGAACAGCTTTAAATCTTTCAGTTAGCCTTTCTTTTTTTAATTTACCCCCCTCCTTTTTTTCTTTTTCTTTCTCCTTTTTTTTTTCGTTGCCTGCCTGTCAGGAGCTGGGCTGGTGGCCAAGCAGGAAATGACACATCGAGAGGCATTTGTGTTGTGCAACATTTTGTGGAACTGATGCAAGGATACATTGTCTGTTTACGCATTCCTCTGCTAACAGCCTGCATGGCAGTAATTTTATTCAGGGACACATGGCATGCTACAGCAAGGAGCTAGAGCCTTAACATCTCTTTATGCAGAATTATCACAGCAGTTAAAACATGCTGTGTGTCCCCCGTTTTGAATATTCTCTGGCTTGCCTTCAAAAACCACTCTACCAGCCCCCATTTCCTTCCCTAGAATATATTGGTTTGGTTGTGGGTTTTTTGCGCTGTGGTAAATTAGGACAGTGCAGAGAGAGAGAGTTTGCAGAACAAGAGGAAATTTTACAGGTCTCACTTTGTGCATCTACCTCTGTAAACAGAGCAGTTTTTTCAGGTTATGTGCTGCAGACGCTGAACTTGTCAGTTTGCATCTGCACACTGTTTGGCATGAGGAGGTTTTTAATTAAAGTCAATGCTAAATAGCCTGAGATATGGTGAACGAGTCCTGGGGTTTTATCCAAACTATAGTTAGAAAATCTGTGGTTTATGCTGGTGTCTTTCAGAGTGACGGATCTCTACTGAGATCTGCTGGGTTAGTCTGGATTTTGCCCAGCAGCTGTGGGAGCAGAGGAAGGCAGAGTGGGTGGTTTGAGGTTCACAAGTTGCTCTAAATGACTTTGTAAGGCTTAATGTATGCTATAATGCTCCTTTGTAAGAAATGAGGCAAAATGTTATCATACAGCCAAACAAATGTCC